AAATTATTCAACGAAGATTATTGAAATTAATTTAATTCGAAATTATAAACACTTGCAATTACAACTGCGAATATTCGAGTGTTACGATTTTTCTTGCGTACGTACAATTGTAAATACAGATGCGAATGTCTATATTATAGTGTTTATATATATATTAGGTGGACCGGAAAGTAATGTCGTTTGCTTACATTAAACTCAATGCATAGAAACGACATTACTTTCCGATCCCCCTAATACATATATACATTATGTACATTGCAGTTCATTATGCAATAAAACATATAACTGTAATTAAATGTGTATTTTATTTACGTGTGCTTCGTTTTCTTTTAGATCAAAGAGGAATAATTACAAACAAGTGATTCAAATTTTCACGGGAAAGGTGGTAATGAGAAAAATGAATTCGATAAGAGAACCACGAGAGAGTGCTGAAACTCGTATATGAAAAAAACATATAATGCCTTTATGGGTAGAGTTCTAAATCCAGTAAGTTACGTCAGAAACGAAGAGAAATTCCCGGTAACTTATCGGTAATTTCTCCAAAGCCTTTTTTATCGAGAAATTATGAGAATTTGAATTTTTCAACAGAGCGAACGAGAGGTTTCGATTAGCTATAGAGAAACATCGTAGAGGGGAATTTCCGTTGTACGTTCTCCGTAGCCAATCAAAACCTCCCATTCGCTTCGTCGCAGAATGAAATATCAGTTCATTTGAAACAAATCGCATGGAATTTTCCGTGAAGTTGTAGATACGTGAATATTTTTAGCTGGAGGTAAATACGACCCTATAATCAATATTTTCTAATAGTAATTATTACTCTATAGCTTGAACTTTGAAGTTGATTGAAAAAAAAAGTTATTTAAACGAAGAAACCTAAAGTATAAATAACAAAATTAACGTTCTCTTAAATTCTCAATGTTCCCGGTAACTTACGGTATGTTTCACAGTTACCTTCTCCAATTTAATGTTACCGAGAATTTTCGAACTCTATTTATGGGACCTTCCGCTCTATCTAATCCTCATTGATTCAAAGCAATTGATATTTCTTTTTAAGGTGAAGTGAAACACGTCGAGGAACTTGATCGACGTCGATAAGGAAGATTTTTCTAAATGCCTACGTTGTCGATGTTCGTTTTTATATCGACAGCCGGGTCGAATTATATTGGATATTGTACCAAATGGCATACTCCACCTGTCGTTTTCGTACAATAAATATCAAGAAATCGAAGTAAAACACCAGAAATCCTCTGAATTCACGTTTTCTGGGGCCCTAATTGACTGCAGAGGGACCCCCAGCGTCATCTGTGATTTCCAGGTCAATTAAATTTTCACTCCGAGACCTCGTACTCCCGTCGTTTCGGCATAGAAGCGCATACAACTCTTTTTTTGCCCTTATCCTGTTCAAATGCGAGTTTATCGATTACCAGAGTGTTCTAAATTGTTGTAAAATTGTCCTGATCCTTTCGATTCTCATATCGGAGCCTTCGATAATTGTATATCGATCGAAATATGAGAGCTGGACGCCATTTTGGTTCTGGTCTGGGCTGAGTTAAAAAATTTGGTTAAAAAATCCAAATTTTGAACGTGTCAGGACAATTCTTAGAAGATCAGGAGTGACGTGTCAAAGTTTCGGACAGTTTGGTCTAATACCCTTAAAAAAAAAGTGTTGTATTCGAATCGACTGATTCGAAGGGGGTTTCACTTCACCTTAAGCCAATGGAATTTAAATTTAATGGTACACATATCTTGAATTTCATAGTTGATGCATATTTTATCATAAAAACAATCCCTGCTACGCAGTCGGCGATGGCCCATTTTACTTGTCAATTACATGCCAGAATAAAACGAAACTAGTTTAGTAATTCATCCGTAATGCCTCTACTTATGTTTAGTATCCACTGATGCCGTTATATGTGCCCATAGTTATGAAAGTGGTCTAAGTCAAAATTAAAAAAAAAAAAAGAGTGTATCAGTTATTTCACGCCATATTATTTCAAACGAAATTAATTCAATGTAATTTCGAAACAAAAATATATGACTTAGACCACTTTCATAATTATGGGCACATATGTTATCAGCACACATACCCGCGAAGAATATAACGAGAATATTCAAATTATGAAAATATGGAAGTATATCAACTTTCTATATATTTATCATTAGCCACGTACACCCATGCACAATCCATGAGGTTGGTCACATATCATTAAAACAATGAATTACGCTCACGACGATCTTTCGAACGGAAAAATGAAACCTCGAAATGTCAAGCATACTTGCGCCCAATCTAGCCTTGTGAGTAACATTACAATTAAGAAATAAACTAATTTCACTTGCATCAAATCAACGCCCGAATGTTATACTTAACCTTGAAAAGTGCTAGACGTCTACGCTTAATCCTCCTAATGTTGTCATCCCGAGCAGGAACAAACTGTGAAGGATGTGACAACGTACACCCAAACAAAAGAGTAACCCGTATTCCGCTTCGGAGCGTACCGTGCCCAGGCAGCATAAAATATTCATAGAATATAGAAAAGAAGTTGGAAAATATTCCTCATGTATATCCGACATTGGAATGACATTTTAAGGTGAAGTGAAACCCCCCTGAAATCAGTCGAATACAACACTTTTTTTTAAGGGTATTAGACCAAACTGTCCGAAACTTTGACACGTCACTTCTGATCATCTAAGAATTGTCCGGACACATTCAAAATTTGGATTTTTTAACCAAATTTTTTAACTCAGCCCAGACCAAAACCAAAATGGCGTCGAGCTCTCATATTTCGATCAAAATATAATTATCGAAGGCTCTGATATGAGAATCGAAATGGTTAGGACAATTTTACGACAATTTAAAACACTCTGGTAATCGATAAACTCGCATTTGAACGGGATACGGGGAAAAAAAGAGTTGTATGCGTTTCTATCCTAAAACAATGGTAATACGGGGTCTCGGAATGAAAATTTAATTGACCTGGAAATCACAGATGGCGCAGGGATAATATATTATTACTTCATTTTGAATACACATACGTACACCAACACTTTAAAATTATATTCCCTGGATAAGTACTTTATTTGTTGAAAAAGTAGATGCTTACGTATCAATGTTTCAATATTTTATCTCACCAAATGTTGACACTAATTTAAAAACAGAATACCGAAAGATGAACATTTTGTATTTTTATTTGCGTGGCAAAAAATATAATTCAGACATGTATATGACATGCTACTTCTTATGTGTAAGAAGTATCAATTCCATGTTCATACAATATTTCGTTAAATATATTTCGAATATAAAAAACTGACCGAAACTACATTCATCCTATGTTCAGAGAATGTACATAGCACGTAAATCCATATCCTATTAATATTGAAATATTTCCAAAGAGTATACTATGAACCTCTGTGCTATGTATTTGTGCTGTCTGGGTGGTTAAAGTGAAGTGAAACCTTCTTGAAATGAGTCGATTCGGATACAACACTTTTTTTTAAGGGTATTAGACCAAACTGTCCGATACCTTGACACATCACTCCTGATCATCTAAGAATTGTCCTGACACATTCAAAATTTGGATTTTTTAACCAAATTTTTTAACTCAGCCTCAACCAGAACCAAAATGGCGTCGAGTTCTCATATCAGAGCCTTCGATAATTGTATATTGATCGAAATATGAGAGCTCGACGCCATTTTGGTTCTGGTCTGGGTGAGTTAAAAAATTTGGTTAAAAAATCCAAATTTTGAACGTGTCAGGACAATTCTTAGAAGATCAGGAGTGACGTGTCAAAGTTTCGGACAGTTTGGTCTANCTGATCATCTAAGAATTGTCCTGACACATTCAAAATTTGGATTTTTTAACCAAATTTTTTAACTCAGCCTCAACCAGAACCAAAATGGCGTCGAGTTCTCATATTATTATTATCGAAGGCTCTGATATGAGAATCGAAAGATTCAGGACAATTTTACGCCAATTTAGAACATTCTGGTAGTCGATCAACTGGCATTTGAACGGGATAAAGGCAAAAAAAGTGTTGTATGCGTTTCTATGCTAAAAGGATGGGAATACGAGGTCTTGGAGTGAAAATTTAATTGCCCTGGAAATCACAGATGGCGCAGGGGGTCCCTCTGCAGTCAATCAGGGCCCCAGAAAGCATGAATCCAGAGAATTTCTGGAGTTTTACTTCAATTTCTTTATAATTATCGTACGAAAACGACAGATGGAGTATGATATTTGGTATAATATCCAATATAATTCGACACAGCTGTCAATATAAAAACGAACATCGGCAACGTGGGCATTCAGAAAAATCTTCTTTATCGACGTCGATCAAGTTCCTCGACGTGTTTCACTTCACCTTAAGGTGAAGAAGATTTTTCTAAATGCCTACGTTACCGACGTTCGTTTTTATATTGACAGCTGGGTCGAATTATATTGGGTATTGTACCAAATGGCATACTCCACCTGTCGTTTTCATACAATAATTATAAAGAATTCGAAGTAAAACTCCAGAAATCCTCTGGATTCATGATTTCTGGGGCCCTAATTCACTGCAGAGGGACTCCCTGCGCCATCTGTGATTTCCAGGTCAATTATATTTTCCCTCCAAGACCTCGTATTACCATCGTTTTAGCATAGAAGCGCATACAACACTTTTCTTGCCTTTATCCCGTTCAAATGCGAGTTTATCGATTACCAGAGTTTTCTAAATTGTCGTACAATTGTCCTGACTCTCTCGATTCTCATATCAGAGCCTTCGATAATTGTATTTTGATCGAAATATGAGAGCTCGACGCCATTTTGGTTCTGGTCTAGGCTGAGTAAAAAAATTTGTTGGAAAAATCCAAATTTTCAATGTGTCAGGACAATTCTTAGATGATCAGGAGTGATGTGTCAAAGTTTTGGACAGTTTGGTCTAACGCCTTTAAAAAAAAAGTGTTGTATTCGTATCGACTGATTTGAAGGGGGTTTCACTTCACGTTAATCCCTGGGATCACTTACCGCTGATTATCCGATAGGTCCTCCCGGTCCAAACTCCTTTCCACTGGTTCGTCTACGATGCACGAGGTCGCCAGCGACTCCACGCGCCTGCTCCCTCTCTTACACCCTCTCGCTCGGAGAGGGACAAAGAGGTGTACGCAGATAAATTCAGTTCTATATATAGATGCAAAAGTGTTTCGGGAAATCTCTCGGAATTCGAATTTGCAACTTGTTATGGACGCACGAGCGTCCTCGTGTATTGGCGAATCTGAGCGAATCTTACCACGTGTGCCGGGTGCCGGCCGTGAGTCCGCGCGACATACAATACGTACCCCGAGTACTCAGCAGCCGCGACTGACGCAGAATCAACGTGCGCCGGTTCCCCCTCTTCTTCCCGGCCCCTCCATTCACGGCTAGCCGATCCGAGCAGAGAGGGCCGCTCCCACTCACCCTTAATCAATACCAGCGCCCTCCGTCTTTCTCTTTCTCCTCCTTTAGCCCTCCCCGGCGCAAGATCCGCACCTTCTCGCTTCTTCTCTCTCGTGCACACCCTGCTTCTTTTTGGATCCTTGTTCCCTCCATGCGATTACGAACGCTTGAATCTTTCTCTTTGCCGCTGAGCCGCGAACTGGGTCCCCTTCGCTCTTGCTTTTTCGTTTCTCATTTCGCCCTCGTTTCGTTTTCCATTTTACGGCGAAAATATTTCCTGCGAGGGGGCTGTACCCACTGAACACCAAACCTAACGGTTACGTAACCTGAAACTAACAAATAACATAACCTTTGTTACAAGGTAATAACATAACAGTTACGTAACTTGAAACTAACAAATAACATAACCTTTGTTACAAGGNGAAAAAAAGAGTTGTATGCGTTTCTATCCTAAAACAATGGTAATACGGGGTCTCGGAATGAAAATTTAATTGACCTGGAAATCACAGATGGCGCAAAGTAACAAAAAATAATTAAAAATAAAAAATTATATAAATTTCGATAAAATTGCGTGATTTTTTTAATTAAATGTATGAAGAATTAACATTATTTTAAGGTAACGGAAATTATTACATTAATATAACATGTTACATAACATGTTACCTTACTGAGTGGGAAATAATAACTGACATCTAACTTCCATGTTACTTTTATGCTACATAACATGTTAGTCTCGAAAAAGTAACATTTACCCAACAGTTATATGACAGTGTTCACTGGGAACATCCTTGTTCCCTCTCTCTTCATCTCTCCCTCCAGCTCTCCCTTTACAGATATTACTTATTATATAGATACATTAAGAAATACCACTACAGTGCAAACCCATTCGCCGTACCCCAGTGGACCGTGACGCATCCAGACGGCCCTTACAACGATACGACACTTCTCGTTTCCCCTTTTCTTCAACGGATTTCATGCGTTTACTTTCCTCTACTTAATGTTAATCTGCAGGTCTTTTATGTCACATACCCACCAGATTTAGAACATTCTGGTAGTCGATCAACTGGCATTTGAACGGGATAAAGGCAAAAAAAGTGTTGTATGCGTTTCTATGCTAAAACGATGGGAATACGAGGTCTTGGAGTGAAAATTTAATTGCCCTGGAAATCACAGATGGCGCAGGGGGTCCCTCTGCAGTCAATCAGGGCCCCAGAAAGCATGAATCCAGAGAATTTCTGGAGTTTTACTTCGATNAATGTTAATCTGCAGGTCTTTTATGTCACATACCCACCAGACACAATTACGTAACAATAATATAACCGTTAGTAACGTTAGTAACATGTAACGTTACATACGTATAATACATAATTAAGATTTGTATTACTATATCATATATGTTTTCACTGATATTATGTGACAATTATCATATATTTTACATATTTAATAGATTTTGTTCAATATGAATTGTTACGTACTACGAAATTATTTGTGTCGATTCGAATACAAGACTTTTTTTTAAAGGGTAAAAGACCAAAGAGAGTCACCAGAGCCACCAGACAAGAACCAAAATGGCGTCGAGCTCTCATATTTCGATCAATANTCCTGATCATCTAAGAATTGTCCGGACACATTCAAAATTTGGATTTTTTAACCAAATTTTTTAACTCAGCCCAGACCAAAACCAAAATGGCGTCGAGCTCTCATATTTCGATCAAAATATAATTATCGAAGGCTCTGATATGAGAATCGAAATGGTTAGGACAATTTTACGACAATTTAAAACACTCTGGTAATCGATAAACTCGCATTTGAACGGGATACGGGGAAAAAAAGAGTTGTATGCGTTTCTATCCTAAAACAATGGTAATACGGGGTCTCGGAATGAAAATTTAATTGACCTGGAAATCACAGATGGCGCAGGGGGTCTCTCTGCAGTCAATTGGGGCCCCAGAAAGCTTGAATCCAGAGGATTTCTGGAGTTCTACTTCGATTTCTTGATATTTATTGTACGAAAACGACAGGTGGAGTATGCCATTTGGTACAATATTCAATGTAATTCGAAACAGCTGTCAATATAAAAACGAACGTCGGCAACGTAGGCATTTAGAAAAATCTTCTTTATCGACGTTGATCAAGTTCTTCGACGTGTTTCACTTCACCTTAAAGTCGGGTTATCTCTCAAGGGTCGTTCTTATCGCACGACTACTTCTGAAAGGAAAGGTACGGAGCTATCATCTACACATGTTACAATTACTTTTAAAATCATGTGCATAATTTGAGACCGGACTTTCTTCTTCTTATGCTTTATTATTTCAATTTTGATTTTGTATAGAGTATCTAAAGTCCGCTCCCGACGCGGCCTCGGTCAAGGGCTGTCGGGGCTCAAACTTGTTCGTAAAAGAGTTGGGCACCAGTTAATTTTAGTAAAATTAACAAAAACAATTCCATTTATTTCATTTCACACAAACAATTAATTAGGGTTTAAATGGGATGACCCAAAAGGAAGGAGATTCCTAATTTCCAAGAACATTAAATGGACTGATTGAGCTGAATGTACAGGTACTTATGAAATGAAACGTGTTTCCGAAGGTCCTTCGGAAACCGACTCTCTTTGTTTAGCAGTAATTGCTCCTCATGGTCTTCCTACTTACATTAACTCAATAATTAAATAGACAATTAAAGGCACGCAATTGCCAAAAGTAATGGACGGGTCGAGAGTTAATTCGAGAGTGAATCTCTACGATCGATCGGCTCGCTACGTGTTAAGGTGAAGTGAAACCCCCTTCAAATCAGTCGATTCGAATACAACACTTTTTTTTAAGGGTATTAGACCCAACATGTCAATATAACATGTCCCACTCAGTAAGGTAACATGTTATGTAACATGTATCAAATAATAACTAACTTCAAACTTCCATGTTACTTTTATGCTATATAACACGTTAGTTTCGAAAACGTAACATTTACCCAACAGTTATATAACAGTGTTTACTGTGTCGTTTGTCAACTTGAACCATTAATAACTCGATGAGAAATGTTCTGAGCAAACAATGGAACAGGAACTTCTAATTAAACATTTCATCCTCTTTCATCCCTTGAGAGGTTTACTATCTATTATGGGATACCACGTAGGGTAAGTCCGGGATAGTTGGACCATGTTTTTTTAAAGTCATTTTTTCTGAAACTTCGCAATGTCTAGGATTTGGTATGTTTTTTTATAATATGTATATATGACCTTGAACAATTGTAAGCACTTCTCCAGCTGTTACACTAATAACACTTGAAGTTATGATTTTTTCTTTTTTTTACTCGGTAGTCCATCTATCCCGGGGGTACTCGGGTTAGATGGACCACCTCCTAGGGATTGATGGACCTCTGGTATACGTTACTAAATCAGGGTGTAACACAAGAAATACATGTTATCAAAGGTATAAACATTGTTTATTTCAAAGTATAAAGTTATAAACTATTTGAAAAAGGATAAGTAAATTTGATAGTCAATATACTTAGAAAATATAGGTAGTCTGATTTATATTCACATTCATCCATCCATTCATCCATATATCCATTTATATAAAAAGTAAAGCCCTAATAGGAGATATGGTCCGCCTATCCCAGGTTTTTTCAAGTAGTCCATCTATCTCAATTGTCGGGGATAGATGGACCAGCTTCCTGTCCAGACAAACAACGCTGCCGGCATGCCATTTTAGGTTAAGATTGTACTCAAGTATACACTTAAGTTACAGGATTGATCTTACGTCGAAATCATTTGAACTAACTTAACCACATATCAAATAAATCCAGTATAAAATATTTGTCAACTCACCAAAAGAAATAAACAAAGTTTTCTTCTAAAATACGCATGAAACTCATGAGCAAAACTAAGCGTGGTTCCGTCTACTCAAGAAGAACAACTTCAGACAACGACTGCAGCGCTGCTGTGACACCCCAGCCAAATATTCGACTAGTCCGTCTATACCGGTGGTCCATATATCCCGGACTTACCCTATATCATGCATCTGCGACATCCGCCATATTGGAGACGTAAAATTCAAAACGTTTGTGAACACAAGCATCAAATTCATTTATTATTCCTAAATTATACTTACATGTTTACACGTGTGTTGAAAGACGTTTATAATCTAACGAATGCCGTATATCGTGCATATAAGGTATCCTTCATACTGGAAGTGTAATTTACTAGTTTTCTACGATTTTCGACGGTAAACTACTTGGTTCGCGTAATATACCTCTAAAATCTCGAAAAACGTGAAATTATTCAACCCTGCCCTTCATGACCCTTGTTATGGCTAGTAGCGCTTCTTCGGTTGATGCGCCGATTAACTCAGCGCCTACTGCACCACGTTTTACTAGATTTTGAAATACCAAAGTACATCGAGGAATTTCTGAAGTATAATGGAGAGCCTAAAAGTCTTGAAGATACCCTTCGAAATGATACCATATAAATTAAGGTGAACTGAAATACGTCAAGGAACTTCATCGACGTCGATAAAGATTTTTCTAAATACCTACGTTGCCGACGTTCGTTTTTATATTGACAGCTGGGTAAAATTATATTGGGTATTGTACTAAATAGCATACTCCACCTGTCGTTTTCATACAATAATTCTAAAGAAATAGAAGTAAAACTCCAGAAATCCTGTGGATTCATGGTTTCCGAGGCCCTAATTGACTGCAGAAGGACCCCTGCGCCATCTATGATGTCCGTGTCAACTAAATCTTCACTCCGAGATCTCACATTACCATCGTTTCGGCATAGAAGCGCATAAGACAGTTTTTTGCCTTTATCCCATTGTAATGTGAATTTATCGATTACCAGAGTGTTCTAAATTGTCGTAGAATTGTCCTGACACTTTCGTTTCTCATATCAGAGCCTTCAATAATTGTATATTATTCGAAATATGAGGCTCGACGCCATTTTTATTCTAGTCTGGGCTAAGTTAAAACATTTGTTTAACCTGTTAACCGAGCGGGACGTATAAATACGTCAAACATAAACAATATCAGGTACGGGTTCCCCGGTTAATAGGTTAAAAAAATCCAAATTTTGAATGTGTCAGGATAATTCCTAGATGCTCACGAGTCATGTGTCAAAGTTTCAGACGGTTCGGCTCAATACTCTTAAAAAAAAATTTGTTGTATTTGAATCGACTGATTTGAAAGGGGTTTCACTTCACCTTAAACACGCCACAACCACGTAAAGTTACGCAACAGTTTATTTTTTATAAATCGTATTCGACTAAAAAACGGTGGAAATTATTCGTATGATCATCGCTATCATGTACATAATAATAATAACATTAATCGCAAATATGGCAAAGATGTATTTGGCAAAATATTTCTATGACTCGCTAAATTCTGAGTTTATTATTATTAATAATGGAGCACAGTATATCGGACGTCAATATCAATAGGTTTCACATTGACGAATATCAATGCAGGATACGTACCCATAAAAAGAGTTGACAACTCCTTCGACGTGAGGTTATGCTCCACTCATTATTTTTGTTCATATCCAGGACATGACAAATCATTTAGCTTAACATCCTACAAGTGGATGAAATTACTGACTCTGCATCATTTATATCACAGAATCATGACGGATTCAAAATTGGACAATCGGAACAGTTATCGAATGAACTTGACCTTAACGTAGAGTACCGAAACGCTATACAAATGTGTAAGCGTGAAAATATATATTTTTTGTGTTCACCTATTTGTACTAGCCGATATGCAAATCAGCGTTACGTGGCGCACTCTTATTCGTAATCTAGTATGTGAACGTACGGTTGTGATCACTGGCATAATCAATGTCATGACGATTCCACATATGGAAACGATGCATCGTCTTGATTACATCAGCTTTCTTAACTCTATTTTAACATTGGAATTAACCAATACTATAATACTTAGATCATTTTTTTGACCCTTTAACAGAATCATGCCTACGTATACTCGTCAATGTCATCGGCGTCAGTAGCTGAATTTCTTAATCACTTAACCTCATTAGAATCTTCAAACAACTACTTTGTGCTCTTCTACCCTCTAGACTTTATCATCCAGATACATCTTTCCCTTGGCTTTTTTCCAATATACGTCTTTGCAATGTATCGGTGTAAAAGAAATTGAAATCCAACCTGAAGAGAAGGCATTCTCATTGTTTAATTCCTCTCGAATAGTGAAAATGGATAGTGATTAATCAAGAATGTCTAACTTACCGGCAGAGGACGTTTAATAATTTTTCATTGTTGTTATCGCTACCCAAGTCGCAAATCCTGTCCAGCAAGCGCATCAGGATATCGGTGAATTTGTTATCCAACGTAACAATGGTTTCCTCAAAGGTCGAACCACTCAATTTTGAATGGCTGCTGCTGTCCATCTGTCAGAAAGTATTGTCTTTTAGCTGCACAATAATGTCAAAAGCTTACCTGACGTGCAAGGCATGTACACGAATCGAAGAATACTTTCTCCGCTGCAGTCAAAGATTCACTTCTCAATTCGTTACCTGACCTGAGGTGTACTTCAAAGACGAACAGAAGTTTAAAAGACGAAGAAGTCAACTAAATCGAAGGAGCACTTCCAGAAGTAGAAAGTACTCCGTACTAGAAAATTCAACGGAAAGAGTTCTTCCTCTACATCTAGTTGATCGAAAGCTGAATCTAGGCCAATGGGGTAAATGTCATGCTGAAATTGGAGTAACGCACAACCAGATTCTTGAGAAAAAAGAACGTATAAAACATGATGCTACCACGAATACAAGAGATTCAATTGATTCGATGCAAGCTGATTGTTTCTAGAACTAATAAGATGCATGTTGACGTAGCAAACTTATAATCCAGTGACAGTATACCTCAGGCTCACCGATGTCATCTTGACAGGCGCCGATCATGGATGTCAATTCGGCGTCAATGTAGTATCGGCTCATACGCTTAACATTACCAAGACGTTGTTAAATATAAAAGAGTTTCTCATTCTCATTTATACATTCTGCAGACTCCGAGTCGTTTTGCAATCAAATTGAAACACTCTACCGTAGCTGTTATTAATACTTTCTTACTAAACTGCTTTGATAGTGAGAATTCACCCCAACTGCCCAAGCTTTGGATTATCTCAAGACTATCATTTCTAAACAAAGTCGCTCGTGGTCTAAACTATTAGAATCGATAAATAAACTTACTTCCATGAAGTCGCAAAATTCAACGCAAACCGCACACAGACTTCTAATGCATCCCAAGAGGTCAGGATCGGTGAGCATGCATTGTCTTAAGTAACTGTCTTGAAGATCCTGATGTACACTCAAAACGTCATCGACATTACTGACCTGGACAAAGTAAATTGCATTTTGGAGTAACTGAAATGTACAATTTGTACCCATGATACGTCTCAACCTGGGAAAGAAGTTCACTTACTTTGCTCATTTTGTTAATGAAGGTTAACCAGTTCGGTTCGATGACTTCGATCATCATATAGTACTCCAGATGTTGGATACAGTCGAGCATTCGATGCCTTAATGAGAACGCTTGGCGATAAGACATTCCGACTTCTTGCGAGAAGGTCTTTGCGATTTTATTGCTAATCCAAACTCTTAAATGAAAAAAGTTCATTGGTCTCCCTTTTTATCTTAAGATACGTGAGGGCAAAGGTGTAAATTTTGTATTAGTTAAAACGCATACCTGCCCAAAAGTCGTTCGATATGTTTACAATAAAATAGATGTCTGAAAAGCATTTGATAACACGCAATCGCCTTCCGGTTGATGATTAAGGAAACTGGCCACTTAACGTCATAATTGAATACAAACGCCTCCAGACCGCTTAGCGATTTGCTCGTTTGAAGACAGTACTCTGAAATTCAATTACATTCCGATACAGTTACAGAAAAATCAAACATATAGGAAATACATCTGGGACGTACCTTTTTCTTCCGATGTTTGTATGGAGAGTATTCGAAACATTTGAAACTGAAGATCATACGGCATGAGTTCAGGTTTAAGATCATCTTTATATGGATCACAGTCTGCAGTAGATGTCCTTAATGCTACCTCAAGAAGTGACGCTAGTCGATGAATCACAATATCATACATATTCTTACTCAGTTCGGTCTCGCAAAGATTCATTAGTTGGACCTTAGAAAATGAGACATTTATCGAGTGTCAAGACTACAAAATTTAAGAGAAAAGTAACATTGACATGCGCATAAGATCTTACAATAAAATCACCCTGTGCTAGAAGGAAATAACTCTTGACACTTCTCAGTCGTCCCATCAAGTCATTTTCTTGAATAAGGACCTCCAGTAATGTCCGGGCTGCCTCCGAATAAGCTCTATCGATAGCAGCTATATAATTTTGCCCTCGCTGTTGGTAGACCAATGGTTCTTGCTTTCCCCATTGCACGGTTTTACCTAAAAAGTAATAAATATTTATCCTACTTTTGTAATTTTTAATCTCTGCAATAATACCCTTGAGTTAACTTACCGCACTGTCGGATGACATTGAAGTATTTACCAGTCCTTAAAATCGTTTGAGCATTTTCGCTCAGAAATTCAGGGATTCTCTCAGGCTTCATCGTGTATCTTTTCTCCCAATAATCCGCTGAATAATCCATAGGAAGTTCCTCTCTTTGAATTAACTCGTTATCTTCTACAAAGAACTGTTTAAATATAGTACATATTATTAAGAATTTATGAGATTTAGAAAAATTTAATGGTAATTAAAATACCTCCTGATGAGGATCGCATATAACGCCTTTATAAACCCACTTTTCTAACATTTTCATGTATGGCACGCTAGCATCTTGAATAAGCGATAAGCACAGATCTTTACAATTTGCATCTCCACTCATATTATTTATTTGTTCATGAAGAAGAGTTAATACTTTGCCACCCCGTGCCTTTGCCTAGAAGATATGGAAATATTGTGAAAATTACCAATCATAAAGGTATACCTTCAGAAATACATATAAACTAATAATATACCTTAAATATAGAGGATGTGATCTGTGCAAATACAGACATTGCCGAAAGAGTCGACTGAATGTAAAACCATAATTTCTGTAAATTCAATTTCCCTCGAATATGCTCAGTTTCCAGTTGTACGATAAATAGCTGCAAAATCACAAATTATAGAACATAAAATGTGAAATATTTCATTACTCTCAAAAAAGATTCAGAAGTATTAAGAATTACCAAGTAATCTTTCAGGAAACATCTGAGAGCGCCTCTTAATGCATGGTTAACTTGTCCATCTTCTGGTAATACTTTTTCCTCTACAAATCGAACGGTCATGGAATAATGCGAAGCCAAGGGTAATATTTGCTGGGCGAGTTGCCTATATGATGTATCTGAAATTTGTAAGTATTAATGATTGTCATTACTAATTGAAGTTATCAAAGTCATCGATCTTACAAACATCGGTAGAAATTGCAAATGTCTTCACATCGTAAGGATCTGCTAAAGGCTCCGAAATAATGTATGCCCCATCCATTCCTTTTAAACAGTAAAGTAAATCCCAGAGAACAATTGCTTCTTGAGAAACTACAGGTACAACTTCTATGAATAATAAGACATTTGTTAACTATTAACAATTATACACGGATGAGTAAATGTAAGATCAGAAAAAATTACTTTGATACAAATTAACTGCAGTCTCCGAGTGGAAATCCCAAGATATTCGTGGCCGTTCCACCACCCAATTCTGTTTCATGAGGCAGGGTTCATTTTTCTTCGTATTTGTCATACTTTGCTTCATTAATTTCTTCTGACCCTCCTCTGCAGCTTTTTTAACATTTTTACAGATCTAAAAATAACAAGTATGATAAAAAATGAAACAAACAAAGGTTAATATTATGAAAAATGTTTCAAACCTGTGGTAAATCTTCTTTAGTAATCGTAGAGGTCTTCGTGGAAGTACCAGCAAGACTCGGAGAATTTTTTGCCAAATACTGCTTCAAGTTTTTATCTTGTGATATAAAGTCAAGAAGCTGCACAAATGGACCAAGAAGATCTACCCTATAGAGCAAGCGTAACTATTAATTAGTAAATGAAATAAAATATGAATGTTTACAATGGACCTACTTTTTTGCCTTCAATTCCTCATATTTTTGTAGAAATAAATCAGGATTCGGGGAAGTTTTAGCGAGCTTACGAACACAGCTCTGAGTTGGAATACTCAAAAGTGCAGAGGCAGTTCCACTGGCACTTGCTTTTTGTAATTTCTCCACATATTTCTCAGGTGGTGAGGCAGACCTCAAAAGTAATTCATGAATGGATAACAACGAATGTATACATTAATATAACATAAGCAAAAATAGAGAAAGCAGATAATACCTTGAAATCTTATTAAAATATTGATTAACTCTTTAGTAGTTAAAGAATACAACTTACCCGAGTAACTCTATTAATTCTGCTATCAAATGATGAAGCTTGAATTCACTCATGATAATTCAAATTCGTAGCAACATAAACAGAACATAATAAAAGATCTCAAACAATACTGAATGGAAAATGGACTGTCCAACTTTGAAGTTAAATATTTAACGAGGCACTTTCTTAATTATTTGAAATATTTATTTAATGCATAACTCTGTGATTTTATATGGTTACAACGTTAATTAGGAACCTGTTTTTAGCCAGTTTTGAACCGAGGACGTATCAGTTAGGTTAGGAACAGGGGGTCGACACTGTCATGTATTGGGGTGTAACGCTTTATGCACTACCGCCATCTTCGGTTGGAGTAAACCTTATTCGCGAACTAAAATATTTGGCGGACTATTCAAATTCATTTATTAAACGAAGGGATATTTTCAGGATTTAAAAAGTACTTGCAACGATCAAAACAAACGTTGCTTAAACTGACACACAAATATAAGAAAACGGTATATTAAACATAAAAGAAGTAACAAAAGTGTCAGTGGCGCAACGCCTGTTTTAAATCACTGTAAGAACTGAAATAATTACATTAAACATTAGTTAAAAAGTAACATATTTATTAAGATAAAAATATTAATTATTATGAATGTATAAATATACAAATTCTATACAAATTTAATTTTTGTTATGATTACTTTCATGGATTAAATGCGATCTATAGATCGCATTTAATCCATTTAATTATTACAATTATTATAGTAAGAAACTACAAACTGTTCTTGATTTACACTTTTACTCGCAAACTCACGTTCGCGATTTAATACCCGAGGTAATTGAAACTTGTAAAAATATTCCCACTAATCGAGGTTAGGTTCACTTTGGTTCACTTGTCCCGACTATTTTTATGCGCATCTACGCTGCGCCTCTTGGAGTCTCTTGCTATTGGTTAGACCCTTTTTTCTCTGTTCTTCTCTTTCTATTAGACTGAAAAGTCACGACACCAGCGCTGTCTTTGCTTGGAGTAGGTGAACTAACTTCAGCGTTACACCTCTCCCATAAGGAGTGTCGACCCCTGATTACGGAGAGCGACTCGAGCGATGAATTAGAACATATCTAGAACCGCCACCGAATACGATTTTAGGTTAACCAATCAGAAAGCAGAACAATATTCCGCCATTAACACTCCTAGGCAACGATGAGCATGTATTTAACGTAAACAAAGACATTTTACATTAGCTGACAGAACGAGTCGTCGATAAAGCTAATTTCAATTAGAAGCAATAATTATGACGTCGTTAGATTTAAGACAGCAAAAATTGGAGCAACAGGTACATCTTCAACTGTTTTCATTAGAGTTCAGAAAGGCAGTTACACTTTTTACATACTAAAGGAGTTTTGACCCTGATATATCTTAACCTTTTTACAATCCTTTGTGGGTCAAACTATTTATACGTGTTCATACAGTAAACGTAATTAGAAATGGTTCAACATATTTTGCCCGTCTTTGAGAATATTTCTAAAACTTTTGATTTTAATAAAAGAGGTTATCGAGTCGAGTCTAGTCTTATCGGTGCTAGTTTTAGTAACTGGCTTTTATGAATCTTCTATTGGTTGAATCGTTAACCTTTCCTTGGTTAATATTGCCTTCTTCTGGCAATTACTTTCAGCGACAGTTAATAGCGCAGAAGATGAAACAGAAACGGCAAAGCGGAGCTGGAGGCATGGTCCAAGCATCGAATATATCTAGCACCCAGCTTACGAGTCATTCAACGAAATGGATGAACCCTAATAAGGAGCTTCATGGTATTATTTTTACATCTTTACGACTTTAATTGAGATATTTGTATATCTACGAATTAATTTATTTATCCTGTTAATAGGTTATGATGGCCCATTACAATATACCATGTCTCAGAATAACCCAGACATAGGTATGTTGCAGGAAAGTAAGTGTCTTGAATCTCAAATAACAGGTAATTGAAGATCGTGTATTAAGTGCACTTTGTTTTACTCATAAAATCAGTGAAGGAACTTTTCACATCCTATGACATTGTTAACAGAAATCAGTACGGAAGGTGGTTACTATGATGCAATGGCAGCTGGTGACTGTGCGGACGAAGAATCTTCCCCGATAGATTTGCAATCGCCTACAGAAGCGCTTCCATGCCAATCACCACTCAGAGTAGCTCCATGCGAAGGCATCGACACAATAATTAATAATGAGACTCACTCCATGGTAATTTCTTAAGACACACTGCAATTATCTCTTTTTAATATAAAGTACTCAAATTTCTTAGTAAGATTACTAATTTCATTTGTTAAACTCTTTGTAATATAAAGTTCCCAAATATTTTAGCAAGGTTACTGATTTCAGAGTCCAGAATTGGAAGGAAGCGTAGAAGGAAATGTGGAACAGTTTGTGTTGCAACCCGCAAACAAGAAGATGCATTACAAGTGTAGAATCACTAGAGATAGGAAAGGCATGGACCGTGGCCTGTATCCAACGTACTTTCTACATTTAGAACGTGATTATGGGAAAAAGGTGAATCTACATGCAAGTAGTTTCCTAAAAACGTATTATTTAATCTACTAATATTGTCTGTTTCCTTAGGTATTCCTGTTAGCTGGCCGGAAGAGAAAAAAAAGTGCAACCAGTAATTATCTCATTTCAACGGACCCAACGGACCTTTCGAGGGGTGGAGAATCTTTCATCGGGAAGTTAAGGTCGAATCTCTTAGGCACCCAATTTACCGTCTACGATAATGGGTACTCTTTGATGAAAGGAGACAAACGAGAAGAACGTACGAATCCCCGCCAAGAACTGGCAGCTGTTGTGTACGATACTAATGTCTTGGGATTCAAGGGTCCTCGCAAAATGACTGTAATAATACCAGGAATGACAGCTGATCAGAAACGAGTGCAAATATGTCCGCGTGATGAGTCTGAAACGTTGCTGGGTAATTTCTGTGGCATCTTTGTATTGTACGCGCGTAAACATTACGTAGATTTAAATAACAATCATATTGCAGAGTGTTGGAAAACAAAGAATATGGATAATCTCATCGAACTGCACAATAAAACTCCGGTGTGGAATGATGATACGCAATCCTACGTGCTCAACTTTCATGGAAGGGTTACACAAGCTTCTGTGAAAAATTTTCAAGTCGTTCATGACAGCGATGGTTGGTAAATCAAAAGATGTTTCACTTGAACTCAGGCTTAATGAAGAAGTTAATACATTTTTCATGTTATAGTGGATTATGTAGTAATGCAATTTGGCCGCGTGGCTGAAGATGTCTTCACTATGGATTACCGATTTCCTCTGTGTGCGCTTCAAGCTTTTGCTATTGCTTTGAGTAGTTTCGACAGCAAACTGGCCTGCGAATAGACATCAATTGAACCTGAAAGGTCTACAGTTACCGGCTAGAAATTAGATTCTACGGAGGACAATCATAATGGATTTGGATGAATTCTTACCAACGGCATTTCCGATGATGTTGATTCATCTTTGACAGGACATCGGAGATGAACTACAAAGGTACATGTGTTCATTTTTAGAGGTATCGTATTCACATATCTTTTCTGCAACGTAACATCATTCGGATCGATCATTCAATGTCAAAAATGATTTCTCAAACTCTGACGAAATTCAGCTTCTTTTTGCGTAAAAATGAGATTTTGCAAAGTCGTACGGTTCAATTCAAGAAGATGTCTACATTTGGCTCTCCGTAGAAATTCTCTTTCAATCGTCATAAGATTATCGTCTACTGCGAATTGATCGTGCAAGATGAGTTAACACTCTCGATACTTTTTCTGCAAGTTTCGCGCAGATTAGTCTTAATTAAAAGTGTCCGTAATGATTACATTAAGTACAAAAGCAATTTCTATTCGTTCCAATTATACGTATACATATACATATTAGGGGGACTGGAAAGGAATTCATTATTTTTATACTTGAAGTTTGGGGCAGAAGTAATGGATTTCTTTCCGGTTCCCCTAGTGTCTCGACATTCTCATACGTCCTGTACGCACATTAAATGTGGCCATAATTGCACAGCATGCTGTACAAACAGCAGACAGACTATAGAAACATCGGTCTATGATAAAACATTCCTACGTGCATGTTAATGGCACTTTTTGTACTTATAACGAGACAGAGTACTAGATCACTTAGTTTAACGATAAGTCATGGCTTGTCAAGTTTGATGATGTCTGACACCCGTGAATTTACTTTTTAAGTGTTCACATTGTAAAAAATAACGTTCGATTAGTATTAACCAACTAGTAGTTATCGATATGAGTCTGTTCAAAGAAAAGTATTAATTTTAATAATTAACGTTAAGACGATCCTCAGTATTTCCGCGCGCCAAGGGAAAAATAATTTAAGGAGATTCGCTGCAATTACAAACAACGCGCTTCTTTTGGAGTTCTGTAAATTAACGACCTTTAGCTTTTTTCTACACCACTTATACACGTGTCTATAGATGCAGCGTATAACTTATACATTTCCTTTCTTTCTTTTTCTATTACTTTAACATAGCGTTTTTACACCGGGACTTTTGTTACTTTTATACATTGACATTTTAAATTAAATCAGAACAGGTCGTACAGGTTAGGTGTATATCAATGATCTGACAGTGATGCGACGTATAATCATGTGTGTTCAATTTCCTTTAATATGACTTAGTGAACTTTTAAACATTTTTATCGATATCTGAAGCATTATAAATGGGAAAAAAAATCAAGTGGAGAACAGTGTCGATTAAAAATTACGTACGGATTAGAGACAATAAACAGGAATACCGGTGGATTGTTTTTTCCATTAATTATATAATGTACAGAGTGGGTCTAGTCTACGATTACTCTATTTAAGAACTGTGTGTGGTGCAGCCTAGATTTAATAACGTTTACTGGTACAATTCGATTATTATATGACATTATTGTAATAAACATGCTACATTATATCGGAACAGTTTTTCAAGGCCTCGCACCCTGTCCCTCTAATGACAGAATTTCAAGTTAGCCTTGACGATGTCATCGAACCATTGATTACTAAATTTTTCATGGAAAATATGATCCGGGTGATATCCCCTCTGATAAAAAATAGGCATTCTTAGATTCATAAACCAATTATTATTTTTCAAAGAACACATACGAGAGAATAACACTAGAACGTGTTGCCGAGAATTGTGCATAAATTATTCATTATCCTAGGACGCAAAATTGTCTACGCAGTATGTGGCAGTATACATTCACGATTACTCTCTACATTATGTCTACACGTATACATAAAAAATTCCTTTATCAAATCAGTAAAAAGTCACCTGCATCCAGGCCGATACAGAAAAAGGCACTCAAGGTATCGAGTGATGATGCATCGATATGATATACATTTTTTTATTCTCTTATAATATAATGACATCGATCAAAGTGTCATTATACTATATGTACAGTACGCGGACTGTCGCTAATTACCGTAGCTGTAATTATCGGTAGCGAATTAAAGATAAGCTTAAAATTCCGAAACTGAAAAAGCAGCAGAAGCGTACTTTATATATACTTGAACACCGCGTAACTCACTTCGTTCTATATAAAATTATATATATATATTTATTTATATATAATATATATCCAATAAACACGTTCAGATTTGACGTATTAAAAGTTTCCAAATTTATAAAAATTTCCGCCCTGGCAACAACGCTTACCAAACCTTCAAACGTTAATAAAAATATATGCCGCAATACTTTCAAGCTTAAGCAGTAGTGGACAATTTACAGGTCATGCTCTAGTGGTAAATAATTACTATGGCTCGTCCGATGTTGCTAGTGTGTCCCAATTTGTTACTCATGAAAATTGAATGCCACTGGGATGATTATGTAGCGATATGGATAGATTTACTCTCAGTTAAGTGACGATTGATTATATCGATAACACAGCCGTTTACATTATTTAATAATATAGGAAGATGTAAAAAAGATTACGTGTCAAGAGACAATTCCACCGAAGTCTTACGTCTGACCATCTCTGCATGTCGGAGAGTTATCGATGTATCTCTAACAGGCCAGAGAGTTAACAACTACTAATCAATTAACTGCTAATCACAAAAGCTTTCACTTCCTAGCCAACATAAATAACCGAAGTATTGGTGGGCCGCTGCAATTATTATAACATATTCATTCGCTACTTGTAGATATTAGAGGCACACGCAATTGCAATCAACCAACCACTTAACTTATCACTAACGTGATAATTAACGCCCACTAGTGTTGTAAATCGTTACAAATTATCATGTAAAAAAGGAATTTGGTTGATAATTGCATCGACAAAAGTATGAACTTCATTATAACAGTAGTCCGCAGTTGTCCGTTTTCACTGGCAAGAAAGCCACCGTTCATCGCGTATTTAAACAATATTGAACAAGAATTGTCAATCAGTACATAGACTGGCGTACACTTTTTTCACAAAAAGAGTACATACAGTCTCGCTCTGTGGAAGATTCCAATCTAGTGCCGCAATTATACGAGCTAGATTTTAATAAAAATCCTTTCTCTTAACAATTTCGTAAAGATATTTCACAGTATGTTAAAATACACGGAAAACGAGTGCATTAATTCCGTACACCGTACCATAACAATTACGAGAGACAAGAACATCGTTCGGGACGCATTAACCAAACGTTAATTTATTTCTTCCAGGAAATACGAGCTATATAATGCGATTCGCGGTAGACATCCGAAACGTCCTTATATAAAGTCGAAGATACATGTATGATGACAGCAGTTTAGAATTAATCCACCTCGATATAGAGGCAGGGCTTTTTACACGCTTTCTTACGTTAACTCGCGGGACTTCGTAGGTCGTCCCCGTTAAAAAAGTTCCTTCAGATCGTTATAAAAGTGCAAAGTGATTAATTTAACTTATAATTTAATTGAGATTTAACAATGCCGTGACGCGTTAGGCCGCAAAGAGATTTCCTCAAACTATTTGAAACGTAAGAATCGCATTTCCGCGAAAAGAGAGCCTAGAAAACCGTTTAGGGGTTTTTTTTTCTTTGTATCGATGGACCTATGGTACAATTAGATACAATCGGTATAAGATATAGTAACAAATTCCGCGCGACGTGCATCGACAATGTATTGGGACTCGCAGTGTGACCAGGACGGACGAGTAGGTCAACGATGTCCTTTGCAAAAATATAGAATTTCGCGGTAGGATTCGAAAACCCTTCCCTGCCAGTCTTTTGCGACCTCTGAATATACAGTGTTCTATACAGAAATTACACGGTCCAGTTATGACTGTTATAATATCGTACCACTCGATGACCGAGTCCTTCTTAACCCTTAACAACAGATAGGTTAGGTTAGAATCGCACATGGTCTCAGAGTCGCCTCAATTATTTTCACTATAAAGTGCAAATATTCAAATTGTGTTAAAATAAATCTTTATAAAGAATTTTGAGCTTTCTAGTAAAATAATAAAATTAATAAAGTGTATGGAGAGGTATGAATTAAAAGTGTGGAGTATGTGCTCGGGTCTGAGAACACGTGTCTGTAGTTAAAGGTTAAAAATGGACCTCTCAAGGGAAATCGACTTTCCCATGAAGGGAATTCATTCACTCGTACGCATTAATATACAATTATGCATTTATGCTTTTGGCAACAATCGGGATTGAGAATGGTCTACTCTGTACAACTCTGCGATCCTTTGAAACCGTTGAGTAATGATGCCACTAAACGTATGTGACACGAAAATTTGTATAAAAAAGAATGTTCACAATGTTCCGACAGTTCCCGTCGGAATAGCAAGGGATTTTAACATTGACAAGTAACACGCATAATACTCTTGTATTATACAATTTGAGGACTCTATATGTACTGGCAACATGTCCTCGTAAGGCACATGCCAGGAAACGGATCCTTTGTAATTTAACAATGCTAAAAATTCATTTCAAACCGAATGTTAAATCATTGAAGTCCCAATTGGTTTTCCTACCATAGTGGAAGATTTTTAATACTGCCCAATGACTTTTTCCATAAAGAGTTCGATATGTCTGATAGTCGTACATTTACTTAGATTCGGTTTCAAAGTAAATCTTTCGATTCGCTCCAGGGCTTGACCTGTCTTCGGTTCGTATCGGAATTATGTACAGACATCTATCCTGCAAATCTATTGCAATAATTTTACAAATATCCCTTTTTCGCGTCACCTTGATTACTTTTAACATTGAGTCGAGAAAATCTTGGGGCTGGTATTCGAGAAGCTGGTCTCGGTATGCCACTTCCTATGCTCGACAGCCTATTCGACGAGCTCCAGTTAGTTGGTTGTCTTAACTTTGGCTTATTCTCTGGTTCCACACATTTTACAGGCTTGACAAACGTCTGCAGAGATCAATTTTGATAAATATTCATTGAGCAGTTCGAATTAAAATGAATGTACATCGGAATAACACTTACTTCTGTCTTCTTAGTAGCTGCATGGTGACCTTCCGCTATTATGCACATTCCTTCGTTTAAATGGTTACCTTAAAATTGTTTATAAATTGTAAAAATGATTACAAAGTCAGCTGAAAATTGCACAACATCGTACAATGACTTATCAGGAAACTAAGTAGTTTCGCGTCAAATATACACTTGCATACATTGTATTTTCATGTACTCACCAATTGTATCTATAGATTGGGACGATCCTTCAGGACTTAGTATCGGAGAGCTAGTCTTGACAGCAGAATTGACACTTCGTGGAGAAGTACTGTTGCTCTCGTTATGTCTCAAACCATTTTTCAAAATAGGAGACGGCAAGTCCTTACTGGTATCGATCCAAGTGTTCTCGAGTACCTTTCTATGAGGCTTTGGTGTTGATTCTTGCTTCAAGCCTAAACAATTACAAGTAGCGATTAAGCTAACGAAAAATCACCAAACTTCCAATTATACAAATAGCATCGACTCACTTTCCTCTTGCATTCTCGCAATCTGGTGCAATCTATCTATATTCATCGTGTTCATGTTATATGAGCTGTGACTGCTGTCCGAGCATATACTCAACCTGTCATCCAAGTCCGGAGCACTGTGAGCACTCTGCGTACTCTCAATGCTCTCGGTTGAGCCCGATGCACCAGCGACTTTCAAATCTGCCGTGCTTTTGGCCACCTCTGGAAGCCTTTGTTCCGATCCACTTTTAAGCTTTCCCAAAGTATACAGCTTATTCGTCAGGGGTACTTCAACGGACCTGGCAATGTTCGGTTGAGAGCCTTTGATGTACCTCAAGTTAGGCATGGTCATATGGTCGATCATATTGACTGATTTTAAGGAACTTGACACGAGATTGGGATTAGATTTCTGCAAGTATTGTGGCAATTTCGATAAGACTCGAGGCTGGCGCAGCTTCCTTGGAAGGTTCGGCAGAGGCTTTGAAAATGTCGCATCCAGATTTTGAAGAGACTCTTTACTCTGCGTGTCACCCTTTGCACCAATGTTATTAACTCTCTTTGTAAACGTACTGAATCTGTGCTCGTTCAAATCGTTATTACATCGGGGTAATATCTCACAGTTTACGTTCAGGTCTCTGACTTGAGCTCTGGTTGGTTCTTTTCGATAAGTATTATATCGATCAACTGGAGCGTTAACTGCGTGATTGTAGGTTGTGTCCAGATTTACACTTCGTCGGGCAATCTGCTTATCAGCGATGTTGTCGTAACTAGAATTTAGTTTCTTTAAGTTACTTCGCTGAATCTCTTCGAGCAATTCTCTACGCAGGGAGGAGGGCTGTTTGAAGCTGGAATTAATCGAGTCATCGTGAACCCTGAATGTCTGTCCTTGAATCACTTTGTCTGTATCTATGTCATTGTTCCTTGACTTTTGATACTCCTCCTCTTGATAGTTCGATTCAATATGAATGGTCGTATTCATAGCATTCGTCTTAGAATTATCTGCCCGATACGTTCTACTGTGTGCATCTTCTGACTCCTCGTCTTCTTCTTTATGTTGTGAATTCACTAGAGTAGAATTGACGTCCGAGTTTTTTAGAAGCGAGGAAGCCGTGAAGGTTTGGTTCATGGCTTCCTTTTTGAGATCCAGTGCTAAGGAACGTCTTGGCAATGTTGGTAACGATTTAGGCCCGTAATTTCCAATGGTATCATTCAAGTCTTCCACTTTATCAAACTGCGGTTTACTGATAAATGTCTTCTCGCCAGGATTGCAATTGTAACTTTGATCGACCAACGTGACATCTTTTGAGTTGTCCTTTAAGAATGTCTCATCAAAATTTTTCAAGTCTGCGGATTCATTGAACATGCTAGTTCGCATCATTGAATCAGTTAAGATCTGAGAGTCCTCCATGTGGTTCTGAAACAGATTATAAGGTGACTCGTTCCTCGTTATTGACAGGATCGAGGAATTCAATTCCGAAGGCTGCGACAGGCTCATCAAAGACTCGTGCAACTCTGGCTCTGTAAGATTGATGAAGGAGTCGATCCCTTTCGACTGCGACATATTCAGGAAAGCATCCATGCTTTCTTGACCCGTCATACTGAAACTGTTATTAGACAACAAGCCAGAGAGTACTGTGGATATCGGCCTCAACATTAATGGGACTGATTCCTTTTTTTCTTCCATACTACTAGGTTCTTCGCTAATCTGTACGCAAAATAAAATATGTAAGAGGATATATATCTTCGCGTATTTATATATATACGGATGACATGAATTTCAAGTGATCTTACATTTTCCTGATTCTTTAATAGATTTAATCCTTCAGTCTTCCATGTGTTTTGTACAGGTGGAGATAACGCTTCCATAATTGACTCAAAACTCATTCTATTGCTCCGTTTCTTCGGTCTTGTGAAAGTTCTTGTATCTATCGATCTTTTAGCACCTAAAAAAATGTACAGAATCCTTAACTATAAAATACTTCATTATATAGGTCCATAATCGATCAAATAAAAATGAAATATTTATTACTAGTTTCATTGTCTGATGTCATTTCTGGATCACTTCTAAGCCATGTACGCAAGTCGTGAACAGTGGACTCCGGAGAACACTGAGATGAAACATATAACCTGAGAAAATGGACGCAAATAAAAGAATTATTTTCAAAAGGGCTTTTAATGGGAACAGCGGCACAACGGTAATTCTTTTTACTACTTAAGATACAATGACACCATCAATGTCAACAGCAGGCATCCCATAAGGAGAAGAGCTAAATTTATCTCACAAAGAACACTGAGAATAGTGCACTCGCCTCGATCCCATACAGCCAGGAAAAACAGACCATTGGATCCGACTACATAGAAACGGTATTCCAGCCAATGCGATTAACACAACGTAAGCCAGAAACCGGTAAAGAGCAATTCCTTTACCCCGTTAGAAAAAAAATAACCGCAGAATTTTTTAACCGAAACACGGACGTGCAGTCGGGTAGGTAATTACCATCTCTCGTCGTCGTCGAAATCAATCGATGTTACGTCAATAATGTCGTCGGTATCGATAGCAGGCACTCCGTCCGAGCCGTGCAGCTGGTGGACAATTTCCACCGGATCTATTCCTCGCTCTGACATATTTCACGGATTCTTTGCCAGGTTAAAAATGCACCCTGCACATCTTAACGTCGACGAGTCCTTGCGGCTCCGGGTGTCTCGCCGTCCACGAGAGCTCTCCTAGTGCGCGGGACCTTGGAAATTCGTAGCGGCCACCGTCGGGGCCTAGAAATGATTCCAATTACTCATAGGCACAATGTCTACATACGAAAATTGGTGGAACGATTATTAAAAACATAACCACGAACTACCACAGAATGGAAGGTATCGAAGAACCTCGCGCTGCGTTATGAATGGTTACGAGGGTTATGAGTAGTTGTGAGCGGACTGTCAGCAACAAGATGACGCTGGTCTCGGCCGCCGCCATCTTGGATCGCCACTGCACGCGCATTCTTGAACAGAACTGCAATTTGCGAGAGCGCCATCTTGGGTCGCCACTGCGCGTGCATTTTTTAACAGAACTTCAATTTGTTAGGGCGCCATTTTGGATCGCCACTGCGCGCGCATTCTCGAAGAGAACTTCAATTTGCAAGGGTGCCATCTTGGATCGCCACTGCGCGCGCATTCTTGAACAGAATTGCAATTTGTGAAGGCGCCATCTTGGATCGCCACTGCGTGCGCATTCTTGAACAGAACTTCAATTCGCGAGGGTGCCATCTTGGATCGTCACTGCGCGCGCATTCTGGAACAGAACTTCAATTCGCGAGGGCGCCATCTTGGATCGCCACTGCGCGCGCATTCTCGAACAGAACTGCAATTTGCGAGGGCGCCATCTTGGATCGCCACTGCGCGCATTCTTGAACACAACTGCAATTTGTGAGGGCGCCATCTTGGATCGACACTGCGCGCGCATTCTCGAACAGAACTTCAATTTGCTAGGGCGCCATCTTGGATCGCCACTGCGCGCGCATTCTTGAACAGAACTTCACTTTTTGCGAGGGCTGCCATCTCATTGGTTACTTTCCCGTGGACGTCCTCTCGCGCGGACGATGAGGACGAGCGATGGCGTCGCGTGTCGTCCAAGTGTCGTCATTGCACCGACCGTTGCCCCTTCGAGTGCGTTATTTCCAGTTATTCCGCCGTGATTGGCAATCTCCTCGTGCGACGCTTTCCCCGACGTCGGTTGCGGCCAATCCATACCGAGTGAACTAGGACGACGAGGTAACGAAAGACTCGCATGCGAATCAGAATTAAGGGTGAAACTTTTTGGATTAGAACCGCTTCGGGTTGCGATTTCTTACCCACGAGTCGATTGACCGAGGTGGTTCTATGAGAATTCAATTCGGCTGTACATCCTGTACATTTCTACCTTTTTTGTTTCATGAATCCGTGCATGCCAGATCTCTGCGCGGCGTTTGATATTTGCATTTACCGCGCGATGTAAATATAGGGGGTTAGGACTGAGGAATAAGCGTTCGCTTTGTTGATGCAGAGAACATTTATTTATTGCCTGGATGCAAGTGCCCGAGCCAATGTTTCCATTACTTTTAGGTCTATTTGCAATTATCCGACGAATCTAATTCCGACCGAGGTACCACAATGATGCCGACTATGCCACCCGACTCACATAAGATATCATTGAAGATCATAGAGGCGATCAGACAACACCCGGTACTATATGTTTCAGAAGTCAAAGGACCTACCGTGAAGCTGCAAGATTTCAGGCAGAAAGTCTGGAAACATATCTCGGATGAGCTGGGATTGGATCGTAGGATTTTTTGATATTCTTTAGGACATAATAGATTCGGTCGATTGTTATTTAATGATGCTAGGATAGAGTTTGAGGGATGTTTATAACTGGCATTTTTTATGGAACTTTCAGCTGGATGGGTGAGACTCCGATGGAAAAATCTGAGAGACACGTATTGCCGTATTTTAAAGTATAAGGTTAAATCGGATAAGGGAGTACGGCGAAAGAAGTGGATCTTTGAGGATCACTTGAGCTTCCTCAAGTTTCCGTAAGGCGTTTACCGCTAATACCGCAAAGTATTTTTACCTAAATATAATGTTTACCGATGTTTTGCTTTAAGGTAAATGTCAAACATTTGTATTATAGGTCTGAGTGCGTGGAATTAACGGAGGAGTATATTCAGCGCATTAATGACGGTGGGATAAGTTCCGAGGGCCTGTTGGAACAACTAGAGGACAGGAACGACGAGGACTACAATGATTATTTGGAAGTGTTGGAAGAGACGACCGCGGATCCAGTGGCCAATCCCTTGGAAAAAGACGATCAGCAATATTCGTTGCAACTCTCTGAGAACGATTCCAATCGTGTGCAGGATAACGACGTGGACGCCTATGCTCAGCAGATTCAGTCCAAGTATAGAAAAATAAGACCCAAAAGGGCGAAGTTGGAGCAGAAAGCACCTCTGATCGAGGGGACGTCCGTGCTCAAGAGTCCTTGCCTCAAGTCCAGCCCTAATTTGCCCATTGCCGATGGTTCCATGATCGGAAATCAAATTTTCGTGACGAGTTCCACGCTTTTGTCCGCCACATCCTCACCCATTAAAGCTGGTAATGATAAGACAGGCGATTCGAGCCTAGATTCGAATCAAACGTTCGCATCGACCGAAAGTAAAAGCAGTATCGAGCTGTTCTTCGAGAGTATGGCTCAAACCGTTAAACGATTACCTCCCAAGGCACAAGCCGATGTGAAGATGAACATTTGCAAAATCGTGACCGAGGCTGAAGTCAAGTATTCCGTGCAGAATATGACGCAAGGTACTCAACAGTTCATTGCACCTCCTGGTATGATACCGAAGTTAGTTCTGATACCTTGTAATATGATTGACAATCAGAGTAATAAGGGTTGACAGTACCTCGTGATAAATGTAAAGTTGAGTCCTATTTGTTATAAAGTGCGAGGAATGAGTCCTTTCGTCGCGTTATATCCTGTTTGTACATGGAAGTGATACCGAAACGTGCTCATGTGACACTAATCGACAGGATGACTGTGGCATAAAAAAAAAAGTGACAGAAAAAACGATGCAGAGATGAAAGAAACAGAAATAAAATATACGTTTAATATTAACTTTACGTAGGTTGTTCATTGTATCAAACCATCTTATAACTTGACAATAAGGTGATAAGTTAGGTTTACTGTAAATTTTGCAACCTAGGGGCTAGGAGTCATAAAATTCAAAAGAGTTTCGTGCAAAATACATTAAAAAGCATGCGCGAATGATTTTATACGATGAGAAATTAAAACTAGTAAAACCCTTACATGTTGGGTTTTAAGGTGAAGTGAAGCCCCCTTCAAATCAGTCGATTCGAATACAACACTTTTTTTTAAGGATATTGGACCAAACTGTCTGAAACTTTGTTACATGACTCGTCATCATCTAAGAATTGTCCCGACACATTCAAAGTTTGGGTTTTTGGAAACAACTTTTTAACTTAGCCCAGACCAGAACCAAAATGGCGTCGAACTCTCATATTTTGATCAATATACAATTATCGAAGGCTCTGATGTGAGAAACAAAAGGGTCAGGACAATTTTACGACAATTTAGAACACTCTGGTAATCGAGAAACTTGCATTTGCACGGGATAAAAGCAAAAAAAGTGTTGTATGCGCTTCTATGCTAAAACGGTGGAAATACGAGGTCTCGAAGTGAAAATTTAATCGACCTGGAAATCAGAGATGGCGCAGGGGGGCCCCTGCAGTCATTAGAGCCCCAGAAAGCCTTATTCCACAGGATTTCTAGAGTTTTACTTCGATTTCTTTGTAATTATTGTACGAAAACGACAGGTGGAGTATGCCATTTGGTACAATACCCAATATAATTCTACCCAGCTGTCAATATAAAATTGAACGTCGACGACGTAAGTATTTAGAAAAATCTTCTTTATCGAGTTTGATTAAGTTCCTCGACGTCGATAAAGAAGATTTTTCTAAATGTCTACGTTGCCGACGTTCGTTTTTATATTGACAGCTGTGTCGAGTTATATTGGGTATTGTACCAAATGGCATACTCCACCTGTCGTTTTCGTACAATAATTATAAAGAAAGCGAAGTAAAACGCTAGAAATCTTCTGGATTCGTGCTTACTGTGGCCCTAATTGACTGCAGAAGGACCCCCTGCGCCATCTGTGATTTCCAGGTCAATTAAGTTTTCACTCCGAGACCTCGTATTCCCACCGTTTTAGCATAGAAGCGCATACAACACTTTTTTTGCCTTTATCCCGTTCAAATGCGAATTTATCGATTACCAGAGTGTGCTAAATTGTTGTAGAATTTTCCTGACACGTTCGTTCCTAATATTAGTCTTCAATAATTGTACATTATTCGAAATATGAGAGCTCGACGCCATTTTGGTTCTGGTCTGGGCTGAGTTAAAAAATTTCTTTTAAAAATCCAAATGTTGAATATGTCAGAACAATTTTTAGATGATCAGGAGCGATGTGTCAAAGTTTCGGACAGTTTGGTCTAATACCCTTAAAAAAAAGTGTCGTATTCGAATCGACTGATTTGAAGGGTGTTTCACTTCATCTTAACGTATATTTGGGGGGTTCAGAGATTTATTCAGTTAATTCTTACATTCTTTACAAATCAATAAAAATGCAGAGAAACGAACCGCCGCTTAAACATCTGCAGAATGGAAAAAAAACTTTGGTTGACCAATTGAGAGGAGCTTCCTGCTAGACTCGTGAGGCTTTTTCCGGTGGGGCTTACGGTGAAATGAAACCCCCTTCAAATCAGTCGATTCGAATACAACACTTTCTTTTAAGAGTATTAGGCCAAACTGTCCGAAACTTTGATACATCACTCCTGATCATCTAAGAATTGCCCTGACACGTTCAAAATTTGGATTTTAAAAACAAATTGTTTAACTCAGCCCTGACCTGAACCAAAATGGCGTCGAACTCTCATATTTCGATCGATATACATTATCGAAGGCTCTAATATGAGAATCGAAAGGGTCAGGACAATTTTATGACAATTTAGAACACTCTGGTAATCGATAAACTCGCATTTGAACGGGATAAGGGCAAAAAAAGGGTAGTATGCGCTTCTATGCTTAAACGATGGGAATACGAGGTCTCGGAGTGAAAATTTAATTGACCTGGAAATCACAGATGGCGCAGGGTGTCCCTCTGCAGTCAATTGGGGCCCCAGAAAGCTTGAATCCAGAGGATTTCTGGAGTTTTACTTCGATTTCTTGATATTTATTGTACGTAAACGACAGGTGGAGTATGCCATTTGGTATTGTACCAATGTAATTCGACACAGCTGTCAATATAAAAACGAACGTCGGCAACGTAGGGCATTTAGAAAAATCTTCTTCATCGACGTTGATCAAGTTCCTCGACGTATTTCACTTCACCTTACCAACAACTCGGGATGATTCGTCGCATATAGAAATGTGGTGACCAAGAGTAACTTCTCAAGTGCAAAGGGTTAATATTCATTATAAGGACGAAGCATCAGTTGAAATCTCAAACTCTGAGCCTTTATTATCGACCATAAAGTGAAAGTAACAGTAAAGTTATTTAACTCAAAACCTATGGAACAATGAGAAGTCAAATACGCGTTACAAATATACGGACGCGTTACGGTCACCCTATCTTCGACCTTTCCTCTGAATTGAAATTCATCCAAGATCGCGAGACGTAATTTGTGCTACGGACTACTCACAGAAATGGTTTGAAATTCGCTCAAAGGAATTAGTTTTGACAATTACAAATAATCTGCTAACGTAGCTTCCTTAAGTGTGAAACGTTCCAAAAGGAATGTTAAGTAATCACATTTGCTTGTTCGAATGCCAACAATTCATGCATATAAATATCGAGTAGAAATGCATAGTGTTACGTGATAAGTAAATCAATGCGAGGGGATGACTGTAAAAATAAACCATTCGCACGCCGATGCTAACACAACGCGTGGCATTTACAGGGAAAAGTCACATCGTTCGAAGCGATCTACAATGATTAGGTCAACTTTTACGATTGTAATACCCACGCCCGTTGCAGTCAAGTGAGGTGCTCCAAACGAGGCTTGAAACAGCCAGAATTAGTACGTTGCCATTCCTTACGTCGAAATGAGGTGTGAAGTGATCGGTGACTGTTCTATAATAGCGTACATTAAAGTTTAGGTGCGGAGATAAGTCACAAGGCAACTGCAGTCTCTTCCAGTCTTTTCAAGCTCTTTAATAATAATNGTGAACACAGTTCCATAATGGGACATCTCGGACACTTTCGCGCGTAGAAACGGCTCAATTAGGGAAGAAAGGAAAAAAAATAAAAATAAAAGGAAAGAAGAATACACATTTCCCAAGCAGCGTTCAACGCTTAGTGTACATAAAGCTAGGTTAGGGTCTTAAAAAGAGGGATTAGAGGGAATAGCCAAAGACATTATGCACAAGAGAGAGATCAGAGGCTTTCCTCTCGTGGCGATTCATCACAGCTCTTTTCCTTGGCGTTCAAACTAAGGAGATTGGTTCCGAAATCTGAGTAATTGACAAAACGGTAAAGCGGCACAGATACTGATTATTCGTACAAGGATTGTTAGAGATTGTTCCAACGCCCGCGTGTGATGTAAAAGCGATTACTGTGACGAGAGACTGCGGGCCGATCTTGCACGAGTCAATTTCGAGGTTAACTCAGCAGAAGTGGAACTTGAACGGAAATCGAACGCGACTTAAAACCTCCGGTGGACAAATGTCAACGGATTAAACTCTTACGAAAAAAGAAATCGAGCCCTTCGACGTTGACTCGTGCAAGGCAAATTACGAGCTAACAATGCGAGCCTCTATGGCCGAGCACATTGTGTGTACGTGTTTTCGTGTACGTGTGCGACTCCGAGCTTACGCTAGGTTAGGTTAAGCGAAAATCATCTCGATTCGTACTCAAAAGATAAAGTGGCCAAGAAAGTAGAGGATTGGGCCTGGTCTACGCGTCTGTTCTGATCCTAACCTGACCGAATTTAATTGTTCACTATAAAACAGGTCATACATCGAAGCGTATATAATAAGCACATCGCAATACTTGCAATGCTTCGAGAAGCATTTAATTCACTTATGTATTTGTGTATATCTACGCACATTAGACGCATTCATTTCGTGTGCCTTGTGTGGCAAAGTAAATACTGCGTGCCTAAGGGATTCATAGGGAGCATTTATGCTTTCTTCATTTTACTCGTGAATTTCAGCATAATTGCCTCTTATGAATTATTTACAGTGAATAATTAAATTTAATTTAAGCGAGGGTTAGAGCAGAGGTGTAATTCAGGTTTAGAAATGAAGAGTGATAGTTTGTGTGTGATGACGTACCTCGGTGCACGGGAGACCGAGAGACGATCGACAAGGGGCGTATCATTGTCAGAAACGTGGTTCTTAATGCTCGGTTTTCGTTTCTACTAGATTCTACGGAATTTATAAGTCATGCGAAGCATACTCCTGGTTGGGTTCTCTTCGGTATTGTGACAGGTAGCTCGCTCCTTAAATAATGTGAGGTGTGATATCGACGGTTAAGGACACTAGACTTTCCCGTCATCGTTCCTCGATGCCATCGGTCTTCCCCTTCACTCTTCCTTCTCCGTCTTTTCCACGTTCTGCTTCTCGTCGTCCTCGCCGGGAGTATCACCCTCAAATTTCGGTCCAGGCGTTTCGTCACCCTCCAAGACGATCTCTTCTGGGTCTGGAGCTCGGGGCAGGAAGTCTTCTTCAGGGTACATCGCTTTGAAGATGCTCTTAGCCTGGTCAAGGATTAAACGAGAAATGTCAGGAACCTTTATCGAAGTTTCCCATGACCTTGAAATTTAGAAATTACCTGGTTGACTGCGAAGTCAAAGTCGAGATCAAGGTCGGGTCCAGAACAGAGGTGGATGTTGTTCGGAGCAGAACTACTTAGCTTAATGTCACTCGCTGGCAGGTTTAAGTACAAAGACCAGAGTACTTGTGGTTTTGGACTGACTACAGACTCATCCTTTGGATCTTGATTACCGTCCTAGATACAAAGGAAATATTTGTTCCAATATAACTTCAGGCTCCGATTTAGGTTATGCGGATCTTCATCTCACCTGGAGGTGCCTCCTCTCCGGAGAGGTGGTCTGCGTATGAGAGTCCGTAGAGTTTCGACTGTCCTTTGGCTCGAGCATCTCAGCCCGGAGAAACTTATCTACCACATAGGCCAGGTCTTCCTTGGCAGTTTTGGTCCGCTTGCATGTCATGTGTACCATAACTGCACGGTAGACAAAGCTTGTTCATAGATATTCGATTTTAAATAGTTAAGGCATAGAAAAAGGTTCGCAATACTGCCTAAGATAGGTTAGGAAAATACGCACAGAGCCCCTGCGGACATGCATTGGTCGATGGTCCCAGTTCGATCAGAGTCACCGGTTCTTGTTCAGGCTCCTCTGGTGGGTAATACAAAAGGGTCAGATTCTCTTTCTCTCCTTGCATTAGAGATCTGAAAGTACAGAAGAATGTACGATATTTTACTGGCATTTCGAATTTTCTATATGTTGAGGTGATGCGAAAGGAGCATCCGAGAGGTCAAACCATTCATGAAAGTATTTTTCGAATTGGGTGTACCGATTCGTTTCAAATTTTACGACATGAATAAAGGAGATCCCAAGCTAGGTCTTGAAACTCGCAAAATTTCGCTTTTTATAAAAGAATTGCATTTTATTTTTATTATGGACTAGAACCCACGCGCATATTTTTGCTGGTTTACCATTTTTGAAGGTTTAAAATTGCAATTGAAGACTCAGGACCTAGCTCTAACAATTTAGAATACTATGGAAATCGAATATCACTAAGTCAAATGGGAAAATACGGATAAACTGGTGAAATTTTAGTTGTAGCTGAACGTGGCAGATAGCGTTGTTGGTCGATTAGAGTATCAAAAATCATAAATCGGAGGGATTTCTTCAGTTTTACTTCAGACTTTTTATAATGATTATACCGAAATGACATACGGATTATTTGATTTCGTAAAATTCTCATTGTAGTGTAGCAGATGTCGCTGTAAATATAAATGTCGATAACATGGCGCGTTAGTTTATGTTGCCACTTAACATGATTAGAAAGTCACTGAGAAATTTAATCGAAGTTGATAAATTAAATTCATCTATACCCTTTTTGGTGGTAATGCCACTCCGAATACTTAAGGTGAAGTGAAACACGTCGAAGAACTTGATCAACGTCGATAAAGATTTTTCCAAATGCCTACGTTGCCGACGTTCGTTTTTATATTGACAGCTGTGTCGAATTATATTGGGTATTGTACCAAATGGCATACTCCACCTGTCGTTTACGTACAATAAATATCAAGAAATCGAAGTAAAACTCCAGAAATCCTCTGGATTCAAGCTTTCTGGGGCCCCAATTGACTGCAGAGGGACCCCCTGCGCCATCTGTGATTTCCAGGTCAATTAAATTTTCACTCCGAGAACCCGTATTACCATCGTTTTAGCATAGAAGCGCATACAACACTTTTTTTGCCTTTATCCCGTTCAAATGCGAATTTATCGATTACCAGAGTGTGCTAAATTGTCGTAAAATTGTCCTGACCCTTTCGATTCTCATATCAAAGCCTTCGATATTTGTATATAGATCGAAATATGAGAGCTCGACGCCATTTTGGTTCAGGTCAGGGCTGAGTTAAACAATTTGTTTTTAAAATCCAAATTTTGAATGTCAGGACAATTCTTAGATAATCAGGAGTGATGTGTCAAAGTTTCGAACAGTTTGGTCTAATACCCTTGAAAAAAAGTGTTGTATTCGAATCAACGGATTTGAAGGGTGTTTCACTTCACCTTAAACTATTCGGTAAACCGAGTTGGGAGAAAAGTTTTATAAACAGAACCTCTTCGACAGTAAATTTGACATCGCCTTAACTAATGTGATTATTACCTGTCCGTCACAAAAATACCCCGAGAGATCTGTTGTTCCCCTACGGAAGCAACGATCTCCGGTGGCAGGTGACCCTGGCCCACAACGAGATGCTCCAGGCTCAGCCTCTGTTTCCCTGTTACGATAGCCTTGCACTTGGCATCGCCAACTACCACTCCGTCGAGTTGTCTCTTCAGGCAGTAAACTCCACCGAACACGGCACACAGTCTGAAATAACGAGAGCTCAGGAGCTAACGAGTCTTGCACTAGAGGACTCCAAGTCATACGATGAACATTTACCTGCAGAAACACTGGGGCAGCTCTCCGCTCCCATACATTGGCCATAAAAAGGAAGTGTTCCCATACCGACCCAGGCTGTTTAGGAAATGTTTCGTGCGATTCACGCCGTCCCTGCAGGAGGTCTTATCCGTCGCCATTGCAATGGCCTGCATCACGTAATGCTTCACTATCGGAGTAAGATTCTTAGTGTCGAGATATTCGAGGAAGGTCTTGTCTCGGAAACCTGTGGATGAAGAAGTCATGCAGTGTGGCCCGACAAGTGAATTAAATTCTCTCCAGATTGACTTCCATTTCTACCCACTTGCAAAAAAAAGAAAGAAAAATACCAAGAAACTATTTACGTTTTTTTTTTTACTAAAAGAATACAGCTTCTTAAACGTTGAAATATAGATAGACATTTAGAGACATTTAGTATCGCTTCTTTTTTTTTTTTATGCGCACATAATATAGGTTTTTAAACGTTATGTGTAAATTAGGATTGCATGGCATTAAATGTATCGTATTGTATCTATCTGTTTATCGTTCCTCAATTATCCGTTCTACCAAGAGGATCTTTTATCTGGTTAAAGTGAAATCCATCAAGAAATTTAATCGACATTGGTAAAAAAGATTCTTCTAAATACCTATGTTCGTATTTATATCGACAGCTGTGTCGAATCATATTCAGTATTGTACTAAATGTCATACTCCATCTGTTGTTTTCGTACAATAATTATAAAGAAATCGAAGTAAAACAGCAGAAATCCTCTACATTTATGGTTCCTGAGGCCCTAAGTGACTACAGAGGGACCTCTACGCCATCTGTGATTTCTGTGTCAACTAAATTTTCACTCCGAGGCCTCATATTCCCATCGTTTCATCAGAGCAGCACATAAAACACTTTTTTGACTTTATACCGTTCAAATGCGAGTTTATCGATTACCAGAGTGTTCTAAATTGTCGTAGAATTGTCCTGACCCTTTCGTTTCTCATATCAGAGCTTTCGATAATTATATATTGATCGAAATATGAGTGCTCGACGCCATTTTGGTTCTGGTCTGGGCTGAGTTAAAACATTTTTTCCAAAAGTCCCAATTTCGAACGTGTCAGGACAATTCTTAGATGATCACGAGTCATGTGGCAAAGTTTCGGACAGTTTGGTCCAATACCCTTAAAAAAAAAGTGTTGGATTCGAATCGACTGATTTGAAGGGGGTTTCACTTCACCTTAATAAAAAAGTGTTTTATTAGAATCAACTGATTTGAAAGGGGTTTCACTTCACCTTAATAAAAAAAGTGTTTTATTAGAATCGACTGATTTGAAGGGGGTTTCACCTCACCTTAATAAAAAAGTGTTTTATTAGAATCGACTGATTTGAAGGGGGTTTCACTTCACCTTAATAAAAAAGTGTTTTATTAGAATCGACTGATTTGAAGGGGGTTTCACCTCACTTTAATAAAAAAGTATTTTATTTGAATCGACTGATTTGAGGGGTGTTTCGCTTCACCTTAAAGCTGATCTGCTTACTGAAAATTTGCAAGGGGGAGGTCCAATACAAGGTCTGGATATATATATGGTCTAAGTCCAGATCTGAATACAAAAATCTAACACTACAATTATGCAAAATGGGGATTCGACAATGCCGATGAATAATGTAGATAAGTGATTCCGAAAACGGTGCCTAGTGCTCCGCAGGCAATACTAATTAGTTTACCGTCGAATTCCGGACTGTCGGCTCCTTGTTCCATACACGAAGTCAATAGCTGCATTAACATTCTCTTCTCGACAACACTGACAGTCTTATTGGCGAACACATCAGCCCGAGAACAAGGGACCTGAGTGAGCTTTCCGTCCATAAATGTGGCCACTCTAGAAACAGCACGGAATTCCGCATAACGGGCAATGTTGCTCGAGATCAAAAGCTCCACCAATTCGCCTCGGGCGAACAGCAACTGTAATAATGTAGTTGCGACGTCGATATTGCATTTCCATTTGTTTAAGGTGATATGAAAATAGCTTCCGAGGTGTCAATCGTTTATAAAACTTTTCTCCAAAATGGGTGTACCGGATCGTATGTAATTTTACCACGTGAATATAGAGACTCTGAGGAAGATCCTTAACACTCGTTAAATTTAATATTTTTATAAATTTATTTAAAAACATTCTACGTATTTTCATTAGAAATGAAATTTCAAAGGAGGCGGGACTTATGTCCGGACTTTATGTTCACGTGGTAACATTTCACACAAGTTCGTACACTCGATTAGGAAAACGGTTTCATGAACAATTGATATCTCCGATGCCAGTTTTATATCGTCTTAATCCAGGTAAGAATTACTGACTTTTGGTGCCAGGTCGATGTTAAATCTTCTATACTCTTTTTTAATCCGATCGATGCTCCACAGTTTGACCTGCTCTTTTTTCTCTGCTTTGTCTTTATCACTCTTTTCACCGTTCTCCCCTCCAGCAACATCTCCAGAACCATCGGTCTGTGTATCCTTCGAAGTTAACTCTGGTAGGTCTACATCACTGCATTCAAGAATCGCATATAATTGAACGTTAATAATTCTTACAGTAGTTAAAAACAATTGTGATTAATACATACTTGCAAATGTACCAATCCTCCTCAATATTTTCAACAGTAGAGTATTGATTACTAGCTCTCAGGAAGGTCTCTCCTTCCGCTAACTCTGGAACGACATCCTTGCTGCAGGTTTTCGCGTTCTTCAAATCCTCTATCCACTTTTGCAAACCATCGAAATTGAAAGTAGCCCATAATCCACCGTAGTACTCATTGCTAGAACGAGAAAAGCAACTTAAATTAAGTACTTCATCTTTAAAAGCAAATAAGTCACGTTGGATCACAGAAAAAGTCATCTGCAAAATTCGGTACTTCTCTACTCGCTTCATCCAGGATTAAATTTGTAATTAGGACTTTTAAGAGTTCGTCCAAGACCTTTCAGATATTTCTGTCATTACCATTTGGTCTAAATAATACCTTTAACTCTAATTTATTTTCAGGGGTAGAAACCCTTTCATCCGGAGTATCTCAGGCCCGTAGGAGCAATATCAACCATAATATCTCCAACGATAGGACAGCAAATAACGGAGAAAGCGAAGATGGAAGTACGATTACCTATCCAAATGCAGGACCTTCTTGCCGATCCTACTAGCTGCAGCAGCCACGATGGACTCTGTCATTCCTGTGAAAATATGGGAATCGCCGATTAGGCGCATGCAATGCGAGTGGCATGGATCGGTACGTGGTGCTGTTCCGAGAGGTCTGCGGTTCCCGATAAAAAAATCAATACCTGTCCCTACGACGACCACGTCGTATTCGGTCGGCAGATCGTCCTCCATATCTTCCAGGGATGATCCTAGACCGGCTTAAAGACGTTCAGGAGAAACGAGGAAACGCAGGCGTTCTTCAAGATGCTGCCAGACGGTGACAGTCAATACATAATTGCCAGATCGGTGAGCGCTTCTTTGACATCGAAGCCGATCAGAGCCGTGACAAGGACCCTCCCAACTGGCAAGGCCTTGGACTAGTTAACTTGACAGGTTGAACGATAGCTACGTATATACCGTAACAGGCGGCTCCACCTCCACCTTCATGAACAAACCATGGGCGCATTGTCCGTTGTCAAATTGAACTAGAGACGGCGATCTTGCTGTAGTTCGTGGCTGCATAGTCTGGATCAGGGGGTCTATTACGTAAAGCAAATTGAGAATGTAAAAAATGAGTAGCTCACGGTATTACAGAACGTTTTTGGTGGTGAAAATGCGAGACCATTCATATGAACTGGCTCGGCAGACATTTTTAAGCGACATGGTGAATACATATTTGAAAAATATAGATTGACTCGAGTCCTCTTTTTTACTTTTAACGGCTTTCCATCTTTCCGCCTTTCCTGCCTATAATCCACTACCTTTCAACAATTTTCGATTTACAAGGTATGTACCTTTATTTAAAATATTACTAGACCGGAAGTGCTACTTATCTCGTTCTTTCATATAGCGAATACGTAATTCGGTGATTAAATCCACGTGAGATGAAAGTGCGAGAAGTGAGCGCTCTCGTCAAAAATACGTAATAAATGCCCAGGAGGACGAACACAATGTTATAGAATTTTCCTCAAACTCGGATACAGGGGGTCTATTACGTAAAGCAAATTGAGGGAAAGTGTGAAAAATGAGGAGCTCACGGATTATGGAACGTTTTTGGAGGTGAAAATGCGAGACCATTCATGTGAACTGGCTCGGCACTAATTTTTAAGCGAAATGGTGAAGGATCAAGGAAAGATAGAAAAAGAAGCACCGTGAACGCCATCTTCCACGGATTGTGTCACCAAAATTCAAAATGCAAAACCTCCTGGATGTTTTGATTGTGGCAACAATTGTATTCGGGGACGTAATAATAACCTTATTAGAAGAAGAGAGGAATTACATGATGCCTCAAACCCATTTTCGTTAGAAGAAAGAGAATTTACTAGGATGTACAGGTTAGTTTTTGTTATTACTAGGTTATATTACGTTATTAAACATTGAAAACTGTTAAATAATTCATGCTTACATGACATGATAAGAAAATTATATTGTTGAACTTCTAATTAAAGTACATGTAAATATGAATGTAATACATATTAAAAAATATGAATAGACTCTAATCCTCTTCTTTACTTTTCACGGCTTTCCATGTTCCCGCCTTTCCTGCCTATAACCTAACCTCTCAACAATTTTCGATTTAGAAGGTATATACCTTGATTTGCCATATTACTAGACTAGAAGTGATAGTGATGTCGTTCATTCATATAACGAATACGTAATTTAGCGAATAAACCCACGTGAGATGAACGTGCGAGAAATGAGCACGTTCGTCTAAAATACGTAATAACCGTCCTGGGCTTCTATGGAGACTTCTGAATTCTTTGCTTGCATGCTCCACCGAGGGCAGCACAGAGAAATCTCGCGACCCTTCTCAACTCATCTCCGTATATAGATTAGTGCTCTATTCTCTATTATTAAGTCCGTGGCCAAGCTGTCGTCTCGCCGCGTGCATGCCGCGTGGTTTCTAACCTCTCGTGCATACATCTGCAGTAATTGTGTGTTAATTCAATATTTTTGTAATACATCGAATCTGAGGATTGCGTATACTGTAATATATAAAAGGTAATGTCAGCCATTCTCTCACTTACTCGGGAAAATTAAAACATGGATTTCTAAGAACATTTGTTACAGTTGTCAAGCTGAGTGATATCTTTGTTTGTTAAACGTTTAGTTCGCGTAGAATGTAATTCATAGATTTAAAAAAATGGGAAAATTAAAACATGGATTTTTAAGAACATTTGTTATAGTTGTCAAGCTGAGTGATATCTTTGTTTGTTAAACGTTTAGTTCGCGTAGAATGTAATTCATAGATTTCAAAAATACAGTGAAACGTGATCTCTCGCTGATGATTCTTGTTTTCAGCGTCAAAATGGCCAAATCACATTCCGCTAAGAAAGCCCCTCGGAAAGAGGGATTCAATCGATCGGGTCACAGCATGAATCCAGAACGTCCTACCGAAGGGTTGAAAGGTGTTGCAAAAGTGCGCACAAAGAGTACGATTAAAAGACTACAAATGTACCGCAATCAGAAACCAAAGCGTAATAGAGTTGGTAAGATCATTAGTCCAGCACCTTTCCAAGGGTGGCACTCATCTGGAACGGTTTCTCGCATTGAACCTGCGCAAAGATGGTTTGGTAACACTAGAGTTATCTCGCAGAATGCCTTGCAGAAATTTCAAAGTGAACTTGGAGCTGTCAGGAAAGATTCGTATCAAGTCATCATGAAACCGACCCAGTTACCGGTCTCGTTGTTGCAACAGAAAGCGGTACACGCAAGAGTGCACCTTTTAGACACTGAGACTTACGACAGTGTTTTTGGGCCGAAGAAACAACGTAAACGTCCTAATTTAGCTGTTTCAACTTACGACGAGCTGCAAAAAATTGCAGAGAGTAAGGAAGAAGTATATGACAAGGAAAAGGATTCCAAGGACGTTGATCTCGTTAAGCCTGACACAGGCGTTCGCGATGCTGCACGTGATTGGATCATGAGCGCAGGTCAAAGCAAGCGTATTTGGAACGAATTGTACAAAGTGATTGACTCCTCTGATGTGGTTCTCCAAGTTCTCGATGCAAGGGATCCAATGGGAACTCGATCTCCACCCGTGGAGAAGTATTTAAAGACGGAGAAGGCTCACAAACATCTTATTTTCATTTTAAACAAGGTCGATCTTGTGCCAACTTGGGTGACGCAGAGGTGGGTAGCCATACTCAGCTCAGAATATCCCACTGTTGCTTTCCATGCTTCCTTAACTAATCCCTTTGGAAAAGGATCGCTTATAAACCTATTACGTCAGTTTGCCAAGTTGCATCTAGACAAAAAGCAAATAAGCGTAGGATTTATAGGTTATCCGAATACAGGGAAAAGCTCAATCATCAACACATTGAAATCGAAGAAAGTCTGCAAAGTGGCGCCGATAGCAGGGGAGACGAAAGTGTGGCAGTATATTACATTGATGCGTCGGATTTATCTCATCGATTGTCCAGGAGTGGTGTATCCCTCCACTGAAACGGACACAGAGAAAGTTTTGAAAGGTGTGGTTCGAGTAGAGCTCGTCCAAGATCCAGACGACTACATCCCGGCTGTGCTTGACAGAGTGAAACCAGAGTACTTGCGAAAGACTTACAAGATCGAGGAATGGTCGGATCATGTGGACTTCTTAGAAAAATTAGCTCATAAGTCAGGGAAGCTTTTAAAGAAAGGAGAGCCAGATATCAAAATAGTTGCACGCATGGTTCTGAATGACTGGCAGAGAGGCAAGCTGCCATTCTATGTCACTCCGACTGGGTTCGAGGAACCAATTACAAAGAACGTCGATCAGTCACAAGGAGAAGCTTTCGTAAATAACGAAGCTGAAAAGGAAGAAACTGAAGAAAAAAGTTCTAATGAAGAGAAAGAGCCTGATGAAAATTCTGCTCCTGCAATACCACAGCAAAATCCTATCGTTATTCAGGATTTTAGGAAAATTAGAGTTGGGTTGCCTTATTCCAGGGAAGACCTGAAGAGCGATAGCTTGTCTAATGTTGATGACGAGCATAATAAATCTGTCGAGATAAGTGAAAGGACTAGTTTGTCTGGGTCGATAAGTGATATTGAGTTATCTAATGAGGAAAATGAGGTTTCTGCAAATTTAGAGAAAGATGCATTGAACGATGTGGATCAGATTAGAAAAAACGATGCTGCTGAGAGTACTGAAAGAAATGTGTCTTCCAATGATGACGGTAATGTCACTGCTGACTCAAGTGATGGCAGAAAGAAAATAAAGGCAAGGAAACGTATTACAGCCCTCGCTAAAAGGAAGGACAAAAATATTAATAGAGATCGTGCCGATGGAAGTCCTGTTAATAGCGATAAAGATTGTGGAAAGAGCTCCGATGAAGACCAAGCTCCCGTTGAACTCGAGAAAGACAATCTCATGCAAAGTGCATTTAGCGTGGAAGAGGATGACTACGACACGAGTGACAGTGAAGTACAGACAATAAAGACGGTCTCGAGCAGTGGAACGTTCAAGGTATGCAAAGTAGACGAAAGAACTAGAGATCGAGCCAATGAAACAAGAAAAAAGTTAACCAGCAGACAACGGAGAGCTCTGGAGCAAGCCAGCAAGAGAAAGAAGATTGGAAGCAACTTTTATGAGGTGACCAATGTCAAGAACAGAAACAAGAACAGGAAGGTGCCTAAAGTTAAACGATGGTAATTTGTACCTAGTTGAGGTGCTGATTACTAGTTTATGTAATTCATCGAGTGACCTTTGACAAAATTTGTGTACTCCGTCTGGGGAAACCATAACTCCGAGCTTGTTTAATACAGGTTAGAAACTTGTATATTAATCTTTATATAGTGTAAATAAAACATGAATAATAAATTAATTGCGTAATCGCGTCAATAATTGTTCTGTAAATTTCCGCGAAGACTGGAGACTTAACGTGTATTCTAAAGTGATTTTAATTTCAAATCAGATCATCTGGATCATTATTTATGCCGTTGTTGCGCCACAGCAATTTTTTTCTTCGTTATGAATTGATCGTTGTATAGTTTCATGTTAACGACTTATTGTAGAAAATAATCCTGCCGCAGAGGTCTTAGTTCCGTAATGCTGTGATAAGATATCTCTTTGAGTACCCAAATTACGTCTTTCGCACTAATTTCTAATCTTGCACGAACGAACGCAATTGTGGAGCTAGAGCATGGACTTTTGCGACGTAAAGATATCTAGACACTCAAACGTGATTATCAACTGCGATTAACAATCACTCTATCGACTTTTTGTCTCCACCAGAAATAATATCACGCGTACCTCAACTTCTGCGTCTTACCGAACTCTTATCTTGCCTCCGTGCCAGCTAATACAAAGTGATTTTCGTTGTGAGATGTTTTTATCCTATCAGACAGCACATGGCATCGATCAAGTGCCTCGTAACTTATCCAGCATATCATCAAATTACGTAACGACAGGCACAAACAAGATCTTACCTCTAAGAATTTATCAACTGATTTCTGCCAGCAAATAAGGTACGGCAATTATTACCAAATACCTTTATCCAATACACTATTATTAACAAATACGTTTATCCAATATTTTCTAGGGCTCCGCTACACTGTACACACCAACCCCTCGACACCTTATATCCAGTTCCTGGCTACGTAGAACTTGATGAGGGTGCGCACCCTCCTCATATAATCATCACTTCCCTTAGACAACATCACGCGGCTGACGTCTAGAGGTTGATCTTGGTTCGGGTCGACTTCCAGGGTAAGAACCTTCAGCATGAACATGCAGTGTACGAATTCCAGCGCGGCGTCTTCGGAGAGTTTCTTCACAAACTGGTCTTTGGAGAACGGGGAGACGTCGCAGCCCAGTCTTTCCAGGACAGACACGAAGCTGCAGTAATACGTGTCAAACAGCTCCTCCACGTGGGCCGCCTTGACCTCGTCCTGAACACTCACGAAGATGAAGAATACCAGCTCCTGGAGGGGGCTGAGGAATAGGTAATTCTGGAAGTCGACGAACTTAACGTCAACCGGCCTGCCGGACTCGTCCCTCTTGAAGAGGAGGTTGTTCACCCAGAAGTCCGAGTGGATGATGGTGCTCCAGGGCTCTTCGGGCACCCTGTGCCAGGCTTGGTCCACCCCTCTGTCGAAGGCCGCCTGGCACCTCTCCAGGTATTGGCTAACCTCGGGGTCGTCGCCGATCGCCGCCAGGAACGCCTTCGTGCTGTCCGCAAAATTCTCCCCCTTGAACTGGAGGCACTTGCAGCGCCTCTTCAGCTCCTCGAAGTACTCCGGCCTCTTCATCTTCGTGGCGATGCCCAGGGCGTGGAACCGGGCCATCGCCGAGATCGCCAGCTTCGCGTGCTCCAGGTCGTAGCCGAGCCTCCTGTCGCCGCTCGCGTAGCCCTGGGGCTTCAGGTTTTCCAGCAGAATCACCGCGTCGTCGGTGAAGTCGACCTACACTCGGAGAACTTTAATTAACTTCCTATTCGAGTACACGCTGATACATGTTCTCATGCCAATAGGCATCCTGGCATCCGGTACCAACGTTCAATGACATCTTACCTTTGGATCCAAAGTGAGTCGACTGCCGTAGAACCTCGGCAGGACCCTGAAGAGCTCCTCCTCCGAGTAGCCGTTCTCCAGCTCCAGCCGATTGTACTCTGGGAAGATCTCCTTGTACATGAAGATCTCCTTCCTGAAGCTGTAAGGACTGTCGAAGATCATCCTCTGGAGCTCCGTAGGCGGCAGCATCTTCGCTATTAGGTGCAGCTCTTCGGGGTCGACGCCCTTACCTCGACGGATCGTCGCTTCGACCCCCAGGATGGTGCTCCCGTAGTTGTCCCCGGGTAGCATGATCGACTTGGTCGAGTACTCCTCGACCACGACTTCGTCCCCGAGGCTCTCGCGCAGGACGGACTCCAGGTCCCTGAGGACGACCTCCTGTACGTCCTGCATGACTCCAGGACTTGGTTTTTCCTTGGGATCTATTCCTGGGGATCCTACGACACCTTCTGGACGATCGATCAAACCGAGACTGCCGCGTTTAGGAGATTTACCAGCGAGAGTTTCTCTTATCGCGCGGTCTGAGGAATGACTGGGACTATCAGTGATCGTCCTCGGGGTTCCCCTCTCCGTTCAGGCGATGCCGTCCTTGTTCCCCGATCCGTTCTCCACGCTGCTTCCTCGGCTACTAATTCACCTCAATTATTCCTACAATCACCGTGACAAATGGAATCCTCTGCTGTTAAAAGTGCCTGTAAAGTTAGTACGATTTGTGTATACAAGATTGCGATACTAATATTAATACTAATTCACCGCAATTATTCCTACAATTACCGCGACAAATGGAATCCTCTGCTGTTAAAAGTGCCTGTAAAGTTAGTACGATTTGTGTATACAAGATTGCGATACTAATACTAATACTAATTCACCGCAATTATTCCTACAATTACCGCGACAAATGGAATCTTCTGCGGTTAAAAGTACCTGTAAAGTTAGTACGATTTGTGTGTACAAGATTGCGATACAATTGCGAATCAGATATGATGATTTGAAACAGTGGATATTAAAAAAGAGAAGTAAACATTAGTAGGCAGAATTTTTTAGAACTAATAATACTGAGAAGCGTGTATGTAGAATGAAAATTCATTATAAATATATATAAGTGTGTCATAAATTTAAATTTATATTTACACCTCACTTTCGATGGTAACCCTTAGCCTTTTCAGCGCTAAGCCCTTTTATGGGCGACTTTCATCAGGGTGTATAAGCAATATTGGACCAAGCATCGCACGCACTCATGGGTGCATGGCGCTGAAATAGTCAAAATTTAAATGTATTATTTTATACCGGTCTCGTTATATCATAAATCTGCATTTTGCATGTACAATTTCTGTAAATATTCCATGTAGGTAGGTGTAGATGTAGGTAGGTAGATTGATAATAAAAAGGAAAAAAAAACTG